TGGGTGTATCTTTTGGGGGTCACTGTTCAATTCACTACAGGGGGCAAAGACGGATTGATATATGTATACAACAGGGCTAAGAGTTCTAGTAAAACATTTCCACTATCTTTTATTTATCATTTAGACTGGTGCTAGACCATACCGATTTATAGCCAGGAAAAAAAAATGTAGACAACTTTTCAGAATGCCATTTGGGTTCCATGGAATATTGTAGAAACTCAAAACTGATGGAAGAAAATGAAATGAGCCCAGAATTAAAGAAACACACATGAAGTAAGTGAGTAGAAGAAAATAATCAGAAGGAAAACTTCAAGTTTCACATGGGTAATAAATGAAAAAGGGAAAAATGAACATAGGAAATGCCATTGACAACCATGAGGAAGTAGCGAATAAAGATCTGAAGATGTAAAATGAAAAATGAGAAAAGTTATAGTCCGGGAAATATCACACCAAGACGACACCTATAAAATAAAAATTTATGGACTTGAGTATGAGACCTTTAAAAAGGATCTTTAAGTGTTGCTTCAGGAAATATTTCTTCTTTCAGTTATATCTGGTAGAATCCCTGACATGGCAACCACTGCTGAGCACAAAGACATATTTCTACCAATTACTGGCCAACTAACCTTTAAACTCTTGACTTCGTGGGCTTCCTCATCAGTATGCACATGGGCCAAAATATTTCCCAAGCATATATTATCTTCTGGCATAGTTCAAAGTCTTTGGAAAATCTCATAGACTGTAGGTCAGCTACTTAAGTAGATCACACAATAGATTACAGGCCATCAAATTAGTGGCTACCTTTGGGTTGGTCGTTGGTCCCTGGTCCATTCACCTGAGGCCAGGGGAGGTCAGACTGAGGAGTCTCATGGTTGTGGGTCTGTCCCTTCTAGGGTTAGGGTTGGCATAGCACAAAGATACACATGTATTATACAGATAGGCAAAGGAGTGCAATGAGTGGTGCCCATGCTATAAAGTGGAGGGTGGTTGAAGAGGTGTGCTAGAGAAACTGGATCCTAAAGTCTGAGTGGTGTCCAACATAAGATGGCACAGGGAGGTGGATGGGTAAAGGTAGGAGGGTAATCAGGAATCAGAACATACACATGGACACCATTGTGGACACCAAGGTGTCACATCTGAGACAACTGGACTGAGCAATGATCACTCCCAGCCATTTTATCAAAATCTTATGCTAGTCTCAGCCAGGCAAGTTGGCTCATGCCTGCAATACCAGCACCCTTGGGAGTCCGAGGTGAGAGGATTGTTTGAGCCCAGGAGTTTGAGACCAGCCTGGACAACACAGTGAGACCTCATCTTTACGGAAAAATAATGATAATAAAATAAGCCCGTCATGGTGGCACATGTCTGTAGTTCTAGCTACTCAGAGGGCTGAGGCAGAAGGATCGCCTGAGCCCAGTTGGTCAAATCTGAGGTAAGCCTTGATCGTGTCACTACACTCCAGCCTGGGCAGCAGAGTGAAATCCTGACTCAAGAAAAAATTTTTTTAAGTTAATGAATTAAAAAAAAAACTCATGCTGTTCTCAAATAAGAAACCATCAAGAAAAATACACTTGAATCATATTTAATCATCTTGTTTAAGGGGTGGAGGGATGCTTTTCCATCTCAGTTACTTAACTGAAAGCAGGCACCATGAATGAGTTGTTAAATTAGCAAGTATGCCAGCACTTTCACTTATTAATTGGTATGTTCCATTTTAATTAAAATCATCCTGGCTAATTACTCATTTCACTGTGTGCAACACCAGCTGAATAAGCTAGAGGACATGATGAAGGCAAAATAAACTCTGTACTCTCTCCAGCTTATTAACTTTGTATTGCATTTTCTTTCACACGGGGTGACCCAAGGGAAACTTAAATTTAACCTTCCATTCTTGCCGCATCTTGGAGTATGTGGGTATAGTAGAAAGAGTATAAACTTTGAAACTCATACACATGGGTTTGAAATGTTGGCTCTGCCATTTATGGACTGTGTGACCATGAGCAAATATTGAACATCTTTGACCTTCAAGTTTTTCTCTCTAAAAGTAGGAATAATAATAGTACATACTCACTAGAGGGAACTGGTATGAGGGCAAAATGAAAAAAATCAAAGTGAAGGATCAAGTATATAATAGGTACTTAATAAAGGTTAGTCCCCATCATTGCCACACACTATCCCATTCACCTGGGTAGCATCTTCTCATCCACAGGCTCAGCTCAGTCACCACCTCTTCCAGGATAGTTTCCCTGAGTCCCAAATATGAGTCAGGTATCCCTCATCCTTATCATATGACTGTATTTGAGGCATCTATTTGCTTGTGTACCCAACTGGTGCACACATCTCATGAGTAAGTCATTGTAGCTATTTAAGTTTAAAATGAAAATGGTATTTTTCTGTTAATGTACCTACACTATATTTTCAAATGGCTACTAAGCTAGCAGGCATAAACAGTTATTAGGGTGTTTGGACCTAACTACATAATAAACAAAATTATTAGGTATCTGTTTCAACCTAAAGGGCAAAGTTTCTATAAACCAAGAAAGTTCTGGAATCTCTGATATAGAAACATGATGAAGCTCTGAACTAGAAAAATCAGTGCTTATTACTGTTATGATTTATTGTTAAAGTTATGATAAGCTAACAGGTTACTGATTAGTTACTATTTTCCAGGCACTATTCTGAGCACTTTGGTATGCTTTAAGTAAAGGGTTCACATGTGCTACCTCAATTAACCCGCAACAATTCTACAACAGAAAGTTTATTTTTCTCACATTACTCAGAAGTAGAACTGAGGTCTACAGAGAATGAGTAATTTACTCAAGGTTAAAGGCTGATGCTGGATCTGGGCCAAACCTAGGCATCCTGATTCCAGACTCAGTGCTGTTATTCAAATCTTTACCAAGACTGCAGAGTGGCAGTGAAAACAAAGTGAAGCTGTCTGGATGGCAGAATCTGCAGAATTTACAGAGAGAGTAGTTGTTTTGGAATATCCTAGCCTACACTGACCCCTGCCTTAAAACACAATTGTAGGTAATTGGAAACCTGTTAGCTGACCCACATTAGGCCAAAGAGAGCCCTCTCCAAGAAACTGGGGACTGAAGCCCTGACCGTCTGTTGTTTTTCTATGTCTGTATACATCAATGCAAAGAGACATTTCTTGTCATAATGTCAGGATGCAAAAGAGAAGAATTACATCCTTCTGGTTTTGAGGTAGTTAGCTGTGTCTGCGCCCAACCTCTTTCCTTTTTGAGGCTGATTAGTTCGGTGGCTTTGTATATTCCTTGAGATCTGTACCTCACCAATAATTTCTCCTTTTAACTGAGCCAGATTTGATGTTTAACTAGGACTCCAAACATAGATATCATAAAGTACACCACGAAGAAGAAGGGAAGGGACAATATCTTCATTGCTATGCATCCAGCCCCCTAAATCAGGCGGTCATGCGTGTCACTCAGATTGAAGACTTCAGCTGGGCCAGGCAGGTCTGTGGAGTTCGCATAAACAAACAATTCGGAAGAGCAGCTTTCTGCACTGCCAGAGAGGTCAACCATCTACTCGACAATTATACTGCTGTCAGATTGTAAATACACATTTGCAAATGCTTCTATAATTGTTCGGAAACAGTTCAGGCCTGTTCATGCAGGGCTGGTTACAGAATGTTAATAGGGAAGCTTACCCAACATCTGCTTTCATGGTTGGAGCCAGATTTGTGCCATTTAAACATTTATGGGTATAAAGCAGTGGATCAGGTATTTGATGCTGCCAACTCTCAGAAAAGAAAAACTCAGCAGCAATGAACAGTTGCATGGCTGATTGACAGGTTTAGAGTGGGCATCACATTTTCAACTACAACAAAGTCTTATTTTTTTAAAAATGGTTTGACTCTCTACAAATCTAATAACAGCACTCAGTAAAATGTGAAATTTGCCATCATGGAATTGTGGATATGCTGCTTGACTCACCAGCCTCCCTGACCTGGGGCAGGATGATTAATATCATAATTAAACAAAGAAATTTCTGTTAACTCTAAAACATGGTATATGGATATGCCCACATAAGAAGCAATAGATCTCAAGGCATGCAATTCAGAATGTTTGTTGTTTTGACTTTCAATTTAGGGCCTGAACTTGAAATCATTGTTTTTCTGTTCTTATCATTATCCTTATTATTATCCTTAATAATTATCCTTATTATTATCTTGAGATATACATAATTATCCTTCCCACTCGGTACGCATATGAGCCTCTCACATTCCTCAATTTCAGTTGGCCAAAACCCCACCATCACCCAAGGGCATCGTGCTTATGTCACAGAACCCACATACAAAGTGTCACATTGTTCTGAATTCTAACCATTTGGAACACCTCAAGTTTGGGTGAATTCATCTAGCCATTTTCAAGTATTAGGGCATAATGGTTAGGGTTATAGCTTTGCTGTATAAAAGTGACTCCAAATTACAATGGCAATGAGACGACAGAATCTTATTCTTCTCTGATATAACAGTCTCAAGTGAACAGCCCAAGTTGAAGAGTTACTTCGCTCCACAGAGTCATTCAGAGACCCAAACTTTTGGTTTTGTCATTCCCACAGGTTTTGTCCTTATTTGTATGTTCAAGGCTGGGTTGCAGACAGGTTCATGTTGCAGCTCATAGAAGGAGTAGCCCCAAGGACTCCAGGGAAACTGGCTTATCTCTTAAATTGGAGATGACCTGCAAAGTCAACTTTTACCCACACCCCATTGGACAAAACCAAGTCCCAGAATCAAAACTAATGGCAAGGGATTCTGGGTAATGCTGGTTCTACCTGGGGAGCTATGGAATGAGTTTAAACTCTATTGCCAAAGAAGACAGGGAACATAGTTTCTTGTTTGTTTGGTTGTTTGTTTTGTTTTGTTTTTAGGAAACATAGGTTTTGATGGTTGGTCATAAGCTTCTGTCACATGTAAAAACAGATAGAAAAATATATAGCCTCTTACAAATAAGATAAGTGCTGCATGGTCATATAGTTTACAAATATTTATTAAGTGCCTACTATATGTCAGATACAATTTCTTGTATGTGTAAGAAAAATATTATTAACATATTGTGGGTGAACTTATGCAATGCTATAAACACATTTTTTCCACCTTTGGAAGACTTGCTTTTTCAGACAATAGAGGCAACTGGAAAAAAGGCAAAATTTTTAACTTCATATTGCAGAAAAAGATATTCACACCTGTCAAATTCTAACAGCTGGCATTACTGTTGTTCTATGAATAAGCACATACAAAAGCCTCTTGGATAGTTCTTTGGATCTTGTTCTCATAAATCATAACTTGCTTGTAGCGTTATTATGAAGCCATAGGAATATCTTTTCAGAAGATGCTTTTAGATCATTGAGATTAAATTCAACCTCAAAGGTGGGTCGTTTTTCCAAAATAATTAAGGCCACCAACAAGGCAAATTTGGCAGTGAATCCCCTGATTTGGTAAGTCATACCATCTTCAGGGTTTGTGTACTCAAAACAATGAAGAAGAAAATGATGACCGAAACTTGTTATGTGTTTCTGGATGTAGACACGCGGATGCAGGAAATAGCCCAGAGGCACCAGGAACACATTCTTAACTTCAGCTGGATTTGGCTGGGCCCGGAAGTTGTGGTCTAGAAGACCCACAACTGGGGTTATCAGTGTATTTATCTAAAAGTAGAAAACAAAATACACAAATTAAGAAGTAAAGCAATATTATTTCAAGTGCTAAAGTCATGCCACTTCTATGCAAGGTAAGAAAATATACCACGCCGGGCTCGGTGGCTCAGCCTGTAATCCTGCGCCTTTGGGAGGCTGAGGTGAGTGGATGGCCTGGGCCTGCGGGTTCGAGACCCGCCTGGGCAGCGAGACCTCATCTCTACAATAAATCAAAAAATCAAGCCGGGCGTGGTAGCACATGCCTGTAATTCCGGCTACTTGAAAGGCTGAGGCGGAAGGATCGCCGGAGCCCAGCAGGTCAAGGCTGCGGTGGCCGGGAGTGGCCACTACACTCCAGTCTGGGCGACCGAGTGAGACTCCAACTCAAAAAAAAAAAAAAAAAAAAAAAAAAAAAATATATATATATATATATATATATATATACCAAAGCCAAAAATTAAAGAAGGCAGGTAAGGACAGGAGAAAAGCTTGCTCTGGAAGTAAATTTATGTCCCCCGGGGGTAATGCCTGCCCTATCTGAGGTGGCATCTATGACAGAACTTTGAAAACAGTATCTTCTGTGACTATAAACTAGTACAATCTTTTGAAATGTCAATTTTGTAATATCATAAAAATGTGGTCCCCTAGGAATTGCATCGGTGTGAGTGTATCTGTATGATAAACTTCTACCAGTAAGAAGAAACATGAATATAAGACTGAAGTATTATCTGCAACAACAGTCCAAAATTCTAAATATATCACTCTTCAATTGATGACTATTTAAGTTACATAAATTATTGTTATAGCCACAAAAAACGATATTATGTAACCATCAAAAAGACTGGGATAGATACCTTTTCTTCTCAGTAAAGATGAGGATGTGCTATCTTGTTAAGATAAGTAAAGTGACACAATGTTAATTATGGCATAGTTCGACTTATGAGAAAATTATATATAGAAAGAGAATTATGTGTCTTATATACATATAATTATATATGAACTATTTTTATAGCATATGTTCATATTACGTGGGAGGGGGATTTCTATTTATAACCACAACTGCTTGCAAATGAATAGGAGTACTGTCCAATTAAAGACCCTTTTGTTCTACTGGAAATCCCAAGAAGGAAGCCTGGGGCTCAGTATAGGTGTAGGAGCTGATAGGAGCTGCTTTACTTTGCATTAGAAAGTGAGGATTTAAGCTGGGCTGATGGCTCACGCCTGTAATCGCAGCACTTTGGGAGCAGAAGTGAGAGGATTGCCTGAGTCCAGGGGCTTGAGACCAGCCTGGCCAACTTGGCGAGCCCTCAACTCTATAATAAATCAAAAAATTAGCTGGGCATGGTGGTACATGCCTGTAGTTCCAGCTACTTGGAAGGCTGAGGTGGAAGGATCATCTGAACCCAACAGGTTGAGGCTGTGGTGGCCATGAGCATGCCACTGCACTCTAGACTGAACAACAGAATGAGACTCTGACTCAAAAAACAAAAACAAAAACAAAACAACAACAAAAGAAAGTGAGAATTTTGGAGTTCTTGGAGAATCCCAAAAGAAGGTAAAGGTAAGTGGGAAAAGCCAGAGGCAGGTCTATGGTGAGATGAGGAGGTTAAACAGATCAGCAGAAGATCATCAGTGGGACAGCCAAAGAGTGTTCAGAAACAGGGACAACTCAGATCATTAACCAAAATAATGGGAAAAGTCAACATTTGAATCAGGAGGAAACAATAGGAACACAGACTTTATGTTTTGGGGGCAAGAAATCTGGGGTTATAAATTACCCGAGGGCAGAGGCAGTGTTCCACTAGCACCTAATGCCACGCCTGGCACTAGGTATATGCTCAGTTTCTGAGGTCATGGGTTCCCTCAGAGTGGATTTTGAGATGAGGACTCAGTTGCAAGTGACTTCTTTTCTTTTCTTTCTTTTTTTGAGGCAGAGTCTCACTTTGTTGCCCAGGCTGGAGTGCAGTGGCACATTCACAACCACTGCAGCCTTGACCTGCTGGGCTCAAGCGGTCCTTCCACCTCAGCCTTACAAGTAGCTGAAACTTCAGGCACGTGCCACCACATCTGGCCAATTTTTTTATTTATTAGAGACCTGCCCAGGTTGGTCTTGAACCCCTGGCTTCAGGCAATCCTCTCACCTCTGCCTCCCAAAGTGCTGGGATTACAGATGTGAGCCACCACACCCAGCCTGTAAATGATTTCTTAAGGAAGTATTCCCAGGAGAAATTGGTAAGGGGAAGGGAAAGCAAGACTGGTTAAGAGAAGAAGGCAAGCAAGGATGCTGCAGGGTGTTCTGGAGTGTGAGTTACTTCAGAGTTTGTCCCAAGTGGAGACAGATGTAATCACCTACCAAGGGCTGAGCTAAGGGCATGTCCTCATCTTTTCCATAAATGCAAAAAAAAAAAAAAAAGAATATTGGTCAAATGTGTGGACATGAGACATACTTAACTTGGTCAGTTCCAGTCCTTGAACTAGCATGAGGAAATTGGTGGGGGGAAAAAAGTCAAAGCCTCTAAGGGAGATAATGGCTTAAGACTGGATGTTTCAGAGAAGTCAGGCATGTTCTGCATGGTTCAAGCTTAGAAAACTAAGATGGGCTTTTGGAAATTTGTGGCAGCATCTTTGGACATGTGATTTCTAAAAACACAGGTGTCTGTTTTGGAAGGGAAAAAAGAAGTACCCGACAGACATCCTAGGACCAGTAAAAGTCTAATTTTGCCCATTTGCTGAGTTGAAATCCCATAGAGCTGGCTTCTTCTGTGGGACAGGGGATAAGGCAGGCTTCAAGGGCTCTGGAAGAAGCTGCATGCGATTAGAAAGGGTGGTAAGAGGACTATTAAGGGGCCTGAACAGAGCCCACTTCAAAGAGGTTAGGACATGCCACTGAAATCATGCACTAAAATGCTATAGGAGTTGAGGCTTTGGAGGTGATCAAGTGAAGAAAAATGAGTAAATAGACATGTATGGGTCATATTCCAAGAAAAAGGAGAAAAATCCCTTGGGTACATTTCAGAGGCCTTTACAAAGGGAAATACATAAAGGTGTAACAACTGGGGTGGAGTTTGTGGGGTCATGGCTTGCCCCCTGGTGAATTTAGGGAATGGGGAAGGGCCAGTAGCACCTGCCCCTAGTTGTGACACACCAAAATATTTCCAGACATTACCAAATGTTTCCTGGAGGGCAAAATCACCCCAGGTTAAGAATCACTTAAATTAGATTATGCTTACAAGTGTTCAGTTAAATGGCATTTTGTAATACATTTTTAAATTAGTGAGTGCCAATAAACAAAGCAACCCTCCCAGAACTTCCAAAGACAGTATACCATTTTTTAAAAAAGTTTTTGTTCATTCTAATTTCTCCGTTATGTCGTCTCAGAAATATCCTGCTTCAGGAGTGTCTGGCCCCTAGAAGACCCAACACTTTCCTGTGAACTCTTGTATTCTGCTCACTTTCATTCAGAACTCAGTAGATCCTAAGGGCCTTGGGAATGGAGTTAGTCTCATTTTGGAAATTTCCAACAAGTATGTCTCAATTTGTTAACAGAGTTCTAAAATAAATCTCCCAGGTCGGCTCGGTAGCTCAGCCTGTAATCCCGCGCTTTGGGAGGCCGAGGTGAGTGGATTGCCTGAGCCCGCGGGTTCAAAACCCACCCGGGCAACTTGGCGAGACCGGGTCTCTACAATAAATCAAAAAATTAGCTGGGTGTGGTAGCACGCACCTGTAGTTCCAGCTACTTGGAAGGCTGAGGCGGAAGGATCACTGGAGCCCAGCAGGTCGAGGCTGTGGTGGCTGGGAGCAGCCACTGCACTCCAGTCTGGGCGACAGTGAGACTCCAACTCAAAAAAAAAAAAAAAAAAAAGTCTCCCAAATGCTGGTGGATTTACAGAAATCAATTGAAAACAGTTCCCACTAGAAAACACAATGGAAGAGGAAGTAACTGACACATTTCTTGATGTAATCCCGCATCTCTGTCTCCCTCAGTTTCATACAAGCACACTTAACAAGCATTTATTGAGTGGTCACTTAACTTCTTGCAAATGAAATCTCCCTTGAGTGTTGACCTTTCTATTTTAAAAATGGACCCAATTAAGACATTGTCTCAGTCTTACTGATTTTCACAACACTGTACCAACAAGACTTTAAGCCAAATGGAACATAAAGAAGGCTTAGTCTACTGGTTTTCTCATTGTTAGGCATCAGTAAGACTGTTCTTTTGAAATAAAAATGTATCTGAAAACACAATATATAAAATATAAAGAGTGTATACCTTCCTCTGACATTATGTGATGAAGGTATTTTACCTCTGTGGTGTAAACCATGACCCCAATTTAACCATAAAAAAATATCAGGCAAACCCAAGTTCAGGGACATTCTACAAAATACCTGACCACTACACATCGATACTGTCAGGGTCATGAGAATAAGAAAGGCCTGAGAAACTGTCACAGATTAGAGGACTAAGGAGACATGACAACCAAATACAATATGACATCTTAAATGAGATCCAGGACAGAAAGGACATTAGCAGAAGAACTAGTAAAAGGTAAGCAGAGTGTGTGTGGGGTTTAGTTAACAGTCATGACCTTATGCTGGTTTCTTAGTTGTGACAAGAATACCACAGTGCTGTAAGATGCCAACAGTAGGGGACAGTGAATGTGGGGTATATGGGAATTCTCTGTATTATCTCTGCAACTTTTCTGTAAATCTATATCTATTCAAGAATTAAAATTAAAGATTTTATTAAAACATTTATACTGATAATATATTGCTTTTATCCAAGTTCAAATTTATCCCTTTTGAAGTCAATTAGGACAACAATGAGGTTGTTGTGGTAAACTCATAGGAAATAAGATTTGCCTATGTCAGCCCCAGAATTCATTTTTTGTCTAAATTTTAAAAATATGTTTTGGTGAATACCATTAAGGAAACCCTGACTCAACAAAAATGCAATTACAAATAGCAATTTTTTTTTTACCAGGTAGGGTGTCTCATGCCTGTAATCCCAGCACTTTGGGAGGCAGAGGCAAGAGGACTGCCTTAACCCAAGGGTTCCAAAACAGCCCAGTCAACTTGGTAAGACCTCATCTCTACAATAAATAAAAAATTAGCCAGGCATGGTGGCACACACCTATAGTTCTAGCTATCTGGAAGGCTGAGGTGGAAGACCCACCTGAGCCCAGCAGGCAGAGGCTGTGGTGGCCGTGAGCATGCCACTGTACTTCAGCCTGGGCGACAGAGTGAGACTCTGACTTAAAAAATAATAATAATAATATTTTTTAAACACCCTGCCTAGTGATCTCAGAGTACTACTCAATTCATGTGTTAGATGAAGGTGCTTTGGGGGGGGTAGCACACCTCATCAGCAAGGGTACCTGCACAATGAATATTTGTATACCTAACCCTTAATTGTACCCCACAATTTTAAAATTAAAAAAATAAAATAAAATAAAGTGTATGGTAGTTTATTAAACAAGTTTTTTAAAAAAGAAGCTTTATTCCACAGTATGTATAAACATGAATATCTTTAGAGTAAAAGTAATTTATTGATCCCCAAGGGGCTAAAATTTGGTATACAGCACACTGCAGTGTGTGTTATTTCTTTCAACTGAATCTTACAATGAATGTATACTGGAGAAAAGTAAATGCGAACGGAATGTGACTGAAATAATTTTGAAGCTGCTTCAGGGTTCTGTGGTGCCCAGTTTGAAAACCATGAATGGAATTCAACTCTTTTATTTCTGGATGGAAAAAGAAGGGCCCAACAAGGCAAGGGGGCTTGCCCATAGCCACTTAGCTTATGTGGGGTAACATCCACATAAGAATTCAGTCTCTTAACTTTATGGACAGTACTCTTTGGAGTTATGTTTAGACAAATGTAAGAGAACAGCAGATCTACTGGAGGCTCATGAGAGTCTAACAGAACCCTTACGTCAAGCACACATGACACCAGGCGGCAGACGATCTCCACTTGATGAGGACGCAGTCCTATTTCTTCCTGGGCTTCCCGGAGAGCTGTGCCTATGTCATCCATGTCTGTAGGTTCATGCCTTCCTCCAGGAAAGCAAACTTCTCCAGGAGACCTTCTTAGCTGATTTTGGAAAAACAAAGCTACAATGTGGAATTCCAATTTTGGAACTATTTATTTTAAAAATTTACTAAACATCTATTTTTTTTTTTTTTACTAGAAATTATTCCTACCCTGGTGGTGACAAGTGGTAAGCAAAACAAACAAGCAAAAATTTCTCTTGAATCCTTTTAAAAAAATAAACTTTGAGAATTTGCCTTGCTCCTGATTTTTTTCTATTTGCTTCCAAAAAAATACCAAACACACACAGATTGACACTGATTTTTAAAAAAAGCTGAAAGGACAATATTATTAACAGATAATTTCATAATTTTGTTGAATTTTTTATGTTCTCGGTATGCTATTTCACAAGGATATTTTCATCGAGTCCTCAGAACAGTTCTGTAAGCTACAATTTTAAAAGTATTTTTTAATGAGGTGAAATTTATATAAGATAAAATAAATCATTTTAAAGTAAATAGTTCTGTGACATTTAATATTCACAATGTTGTAAAACCACCCTTGTTATCTAGTTCCAGAATATTTTCATCACCCCAAAAGGAAACCTCACACCCATTAAAGATGATCCCCTCTCCCCCTGCCCTTGCTTTATGTCCCTATGGATTTATCTAGTCTGAACTTTTGTGTCTGGCTTCTTTCTCTTAGCGTGATGTTCCTGAGGTTCTTCCAAGTTGTACTGAGTATTGGTACATCATTCCTTTTCATGGCTGAATAGCATTCCATTGTAGGTATATATCATAATTTCTTTACCCATTCATTCATTGATGGATATATAAGTTAATATTATTATAATTTCCACTTTCAGACAAAGGGACTAAGAGTCAAAGAGGTTAAATAACCTGACCAAGTTCACACAGTGAGCTGGGATATAAACCTGTGTTTAATTCTAGAGCCGTCTTATAGCACAACATATATTTATTAAGAGTTTATTGACTGGGTGTGGTGGCTCATGCTTGTAAACACAGCACTAGAAGACCAAGGTGCAAAGATTGCTTGAGCCCAGGAGTTTGAGATCAGCCTGGGCAACACAGCGAGAACTCATCTCTACAAAAATAAAAAAATTAGCCGGGCATGGTAGCACATGCCTGTACTCCCACTGCTCAGGAGGCTGAGGTGGAAGGATTGCCTGAGCCCAGGAGGTCGAGGCTGCAGTGAGTCAAGATCAGTGGGACGGGACTATGACTAAAAAAATAAAAGTTTACTAAAACAGAAAATATGGGCACTGTAGCCATTCGCACTGACTTGTGTCAGCATCTCTGTTTATCTCTGCATACCTGTGTGAAGGAACAGGGGTCTCCCCTTTCCCTGCTGTGTTCCCTTCCTATCCTTGATTCCATCCCTTACTAACTTTAGGAGGATAGTGTCTCCATTTGTAACATCCTAATTATTTCCCCTTTCTTAGCTCTGTCTCTAAAATGAGTTCTCTCCTATCTTGAGCTGGCGGTGGGGGGAGGGGGGGAGAGAAGGCACAAACCCTCCACTACTCTCTTTTCTGTGGTTCTGTGGGACCAAACATCTTGGCAAATTGATCTTAATTTCTTTTATACCCACTCCTGCCTAGTACCCACTACCCTCTATCTCCTAAACTGTCAGGGGACATCTGGCTCTGCCAGAGTCCGGGGCCTGTGTACAGTGGAGCCATGATACTGTGCACTTCCTAGAGTTATGGGGTAGTTCCTTGAACTATGACTGATGCCCTGGGAGCTATGCCTGGCCCATGTTAAATATTTAAGAGTGAATGGGAACTCGAAGGTCCGTTCTTGATGTCTGGAAACTAAATCAAGAGGTCACATTGGCATTTGTAGTACCTGGGCCAATATATCGAGTTAAGGGCAAACTGGATACCTGCTATGGTCTGAATGTTTATGCCCCCCCCCCCAATCCATATGTTGAAATCCTCACAGCTAAGGTGATATATTAGGAGCTGAAACCTTTGGGAGGTGATTAGGTCACAATGGCAGGGCCCTCAGCAATAAGATTAGTTCCCTTATAAAAAATAGCCAGAGAGAGACCCCTTGCCTCTTCTACCCTGTGAGGACATGGTAAACCAGGAAGTGGGCCCTCACCAGACACTGAATCTACTGGCACCTTGATCTTGGACTTCCCAGGATCCAGAACTGTGAGAAATAAATTTCTGTTGTTTATTAGTCACCCTATATAAGATGTTTTGTTATAGTAGTTTGAAAGGACTAAGACAATGCCATTATAAACTTTTTGGCATTGTACAGTTTAAAGCTCCATTTGGGCAAGCTGTTAAAAAAAATGTTTTAAAGTTTTTCACTGCTGATGAATCAGGAACACTACAGCAATTGCTACCATAAATAAATCCTCAGGCATCTTTACATCAATTACAGTTATGAGAACAGGTGAAAAGAAGGTTGATGGACATGTTCCTACCATCTTGAACACTCACTACCCACTGCAAATATGTCTCACAAAACACATGAGAAATAGACCTAATGCTACAGCCTCTCTGAAAATGTACTTTACTGTCAGCATGTTCAAATCCAAGGCAGCCAGTGACAGAGGCATCTCCAAGGAGCCATCAGTCTTGATAGAAATACCGACCTGATTAATGACTATTTTAAACGAACAGTCATGTATCACTTAGTGATGGGGATACGTTATGAGAAATGTGTTATTAGGCAATTTTGTTATGCAAATATCATCGTGTACTAACACAAAACCTAGGCTATATTGTATAGCCTGTTGCTCCTAGGCTACAAACTTGCACAACATGTTACTGCCCTGAATACTTTAGGCAGCTGTAACACAATGGTAAGCGTTTGTGTTCATAACCATATATAAATACAGAAAAGGTAAAGTAAAAATATGGTATAAAAGACAAAAAATGCTACACCTATAGAAGGAACTTACCATGAATGGAGTCTGCAGGACTGGAAGTTGCTCTGGGTGAGTCAGTGAGTGAGGGGTGAGTGAACGTAAAGGCCTAGGACGTTACTACCCACGACTGTAAACTTCATAAATGCTGTACACTTAGCACTAAATTTATAAGAAAACTCTTTTTTCAGTAATAAATAAACCTTAGCCTACTGTAACTTTTTTCTTTTAAACTTTTAATTTTTAAACTTTTTTTGGCTTTCATAATAACAGCTTAAAATACAAAGACATTATACAGCCATGCAATACTATTTTCTTTATATCCTTATTATATAAGCTTTTTTCTATTTTTAAGGGTTGTATTTTTTTTTTTCTTTTTAAACTTTTTTTGTTAAAAACTAAAACACAAACATACACATTAGCCCAGGCCTACCCAGGGTCAGGATCACCAGTGTTACTGTCTTTCACTTTCACATCTTGTCCCACAGGAAGGTCTTCAGGGGCAAAACCATGCATGGAGTTGTCATCTCCTATGATAACAATGCTTTATTCTGGAATACCTCCTGTAGGACCTGCCTAAGGCTGATTTACAGTTAACTTTTTTTTTTAAGTAGAAGGAGTAGGAACTCAAAAGACACCAAAAAGAAAAAAATCAAGCAGCCCTATTAAAAAAGTGGGCTTCTCAAAAGAAGACATATGAGCAGCCAACAGACACGTGGAAAAATGCTCAGCCTCACTAGTCATCAAAGAAATACAAATTAAAACTACACTGAGATACCACCTAACTCCAATCAGGATGGCCATCGTCAATAACTCAAAACAATAGATGCTGGAGGTGGGGAAAAGGAACACTTCTACACTGTTGGTGGGAATGTAAACTAATACAACCTCTGTGGAAAACAGTGTGGTGATTCCTAAAAGATCTAAAAAATGACCTCCCATACAACCCAGCAATCCCCCTTCTGGGAATATACCCCAAGGAACTCAAAATCATTCTACAAAAAAGATACCTGTGTACACGTTTATTGCAGTATTATTCACAATAGCAAAAACATGGAACCAACCATGCTGCCCACCAAAAGTAGACTGGATTTAATAAATGTGGTACATATACACGATGGAATATTATACAACCACAAAGAAGGCCAAAATTATGAACTTCACAGTCACTTGAATGGATTTAGAGTTTATAATACTCAGTGATCTACCACAGAAACAATGAACTGAGTACTACATGTTCTCATAAGCAGACCCTGAACAATTATCAGAATACTATAGGAAAGGGATTGAAAGTATTGGGAAACTGTCAGGGGAAGGAGAGGGTGGAGGGAGCACACTTCATCATTAAGGGTACCTAATCTCAAACCAGGTGATGTGGGGATCAAAGTGAGGCTCAAACTTTAGCTGTACAATGACCATTTGTATACTTAACCCTGGATTGTACCCCACATCTTTAAAACAAAAATTAAAAAATAAAAAAGAAGTAGGAGGAGTACACTCAAGTAATGATAAAAAGCATAGCATAGCAAATACATAAGTCAGTAATAACATCGCTTATTATCATTATCAAGTATTATGCACTGGGCATAGTTATATGTACTACACTTTTAAACGGCTGGCAGTGTAGTAAGTCTTACACCAACATCACCATAAATACCTGAGCAATGCATTGTGTTACTGCATCACCAGGCAATAGGAATTTTTCAGCTCCATTATAATCTTATGAGCCCACCATCGTCTCTGCAGTCATTGACCACAAAACTGTTAAACAGTACATGACTGTATTATGAAGGCTTTTCAAAAAGACCTCGTAGTATACCAACTCAATTCAAGTTAACTTGTACACCTATTATAATTAATAGTGAACAGAAACAGGAAAAGGCCATTTGGATTTGTATTCTTACAAAAATGTTATGCTTAGTCTCCGCAATGATTTTTTAAAAATATGATCTCAAAGCAGAGGCAACAAAAGCAAAAATAAACAGATGGGATGACATCAAACTACATTTCTGTACAGCAAAGGAAACAATCAACAGAGTGAAGAGACATCCTACACAATGGGAGAAAATATTTGCAAATGATACATCTGATAAGGGGTTAATATCCAAAATATATAAGGAACTCAACTCAATATCCAGAAAACAAGTGACCTAATTAAAAAATGGGCAAGGGACCTAAGTAGACATATTTCTTAAAAGAAGACATACAAATGGCCAACAGCAATAAGAAAAATGCTTAACGCCACTAATCATCAAGGAAATGCTAATTGAGGCCACAATGAGACATCATATCTGTTAGAATGGCCGTTATCAAAATACAATATAAGTGTTGTCTAGGATGTGGAGAAAGGGGAACCTTTGCATATTCTTGATAAGAATGTAAATTAGTAGAGCCACTATGGAAAACAGTATAGGGGTTCCTCAAAAAGCTAAAAATAGGACTATCATATGATGCAGCAGTACTATATGGGGCACATATCCTGAGGAAATGAAATCAGCATGTCAAAGAGATATCTGCACTCCTATGTTCACTGCAGCACTGCTCACAATAGCCAGGTGTGGAATCAACCTAAGTGTCTATGAACGGATGACTGGATAAAGAAAATGTGGCATGTATACACAATGAAATACTATTCAGCCATAAAAGGAAAAATATCCTGTGACAACATGGATGAACCTCATGACATTATGCTAAGTGACATAATCCAGGCACAGAAAGGCATATACCATAAGATCTCATTCATATGTGGAATATTATAAAATTGGTCTCTTGAAAGTAAAGAATAGAATGGTGGTTATCAGGGACTGGGGTGACTGAGGGGAGGGAGGGTCGGGAAGATGTTTGAGGATAAAACATTTCAGTATGGATAGGAATAAGTTTAAGATCTCTATTGTACCACATAATAACTATAGCTAATAATATATTCTATTCTTGAAAAATGTTAAGGAAGTGTATGTATTCTCACCACAAAAATGATAACTGTGTGAGGTAATACAGAATATGTTAATTAGCCACAATGAATATTAATCATTCCACAATGAATATATACTTCAGAACATAATGTGGCACATAATATATACAATTTTATCTGTTAATTTAACATTTTTACAATTCTCAAAAAGAAAATATGCTGTTTTAAAGAAAATAGATTCGTTTCTAAAACTGGTTATTCACAAACTATCAGTCCCCCCCAAAACCCTTATCTAAGTACAGAAGCTTTCAATCGTTTAAAAAATAAATAGCATGATTTTAATGAAATAAAACCTTATAAAATTCTACCCAGAAGTTGAATAAGGTTGCAGTCTAATTCCCCAAGACTTCAATCTATGTTTTGTTCTTGAATTTTCTCTTGTCTGTTTCAAGCCCCAGAGAACAGGGATGGTTGGGAGGAGGGTGGAACGGAGGAGATGAGGGATTGTGGGATCAAGGGAGGAGATGATAGATAATACAGAGCAGCTAATTCCAGAAAGCCTTAAAGTAGGTGGCTTTGAAGGCTTGAAGTTCCATGCCCAGGTGTGAGACGGGGTAGGGGGGTTGCCAGCTCTTTGCTGGGCACCAGGGCTCTGGGGCTCTGAGAAGAGCCCCCTAACTGAGATAGACCCAGACAAGGAGAAAACGAAAACATATGTAATAGCCACCAGCACACAGCACTAAGGGAGTGCCAGCATCTGTGCCAAGCCCTTTACAGATCTCTTTTATATTCAGAACAACCCTATACCTTAGGCACTGTTTTCAATCCCATTTTAGGAATGAGAAAGTTGAGGCCTGGGGAGATTAAGAACTTTGCTCCAGGTCCCAGAGCGAGTGGGAGAGCACACACCTGAGACAGGTAAAGTGATGCTTGGTGCTCCCTTCCTCATCTAATGGAAGGAAATCCCCTGCCTGTGGGTGGGGGCAGAGGTCCAGAAAGGCCCCAGAGGGAATTTCTGGTCCCCACAGCCAGATAATTAAACAGTCAGATTTAATTAGATTTAGATCCTAAGACATACACACACACACACACACACACACACACATATATTTCTCCTGTCCTTATTGGCAGAGCTGAGAAGAGCCTTGGGTTCCCTGGTTTATAGTTAAGTATATCCCCTTGAAACCTAGATTTCCACTATCTCATGGGTTTATGTCATGCTGTCCAGCCCAGACCAAAAAGAGTTCACATAAATCTACTCCCAAGTCCATAAAACTTTAGTTGACTCCTTAGTTGACTCCTTAGTCGTTTTTTTCCTAACAAGATGTTTTTCATTATTTTGCTTAAAAATCTGTTATTACCACACATTTTCTTTTTGTACTTGAAATTACTATTTTCACAACTTTTTTTAGGAAGCATACTCAGTGAGAAAAAGTGACTTACACTCAGGGGTGTGGGGGTGAACCAAAACTTCACTCCCAGTCCAATATTTCTTTGTGTTCTTTTGTTTTTTGTTTTTTGAAACAGGGTCTTGCTCTGTTATCCAGGCTGGAATACAGTGGCATGAGCATAACTCACTGCAGTCTTGAACTCCTGGGCTTAAGTGATCCTCCTGCCTCAGTCTCCTAAGTAGCTGGGACTACAGGTGTGTGCCACCATGTTCAGCTATTTATTTTTATTTTTTGAGAGACGAGGTCTTGTTATGTGGCTTAGGCTGGTCTCAAACTCCTGGTCTCAAGCAATCCTCTCCCCTCAGTCTCCCAAAGTGCTGGGATTACAAGCATGAACTACCGTGCCCAGGCCAGTACTTTTTTTTTTAACAGTGAAATTGTTTATCTTATGACTTCAGGCCATGTCTGCCACGTGATACTAATGATGACAGCTGAAACTTAATCCTCACTTGGCAAGTGCCAGGGTTGTTTCAGGTGCTTTACATCTGTTAGCCTATGAAATCCTCACAGCAGTTGTATAAAGCAGGTATGAATACATATTTTGTCTTCATTTTACAAGTGAAGAAACTGAAGCACAGAGAGGGTAAGTAACTAGGATAAAGTAACATAGCTGACAGAGAGTCTACATTCAATATGGGCAGTTAGCTTCAGGGCCTAGGCTGTTAATTTTTATGCTCTAGTGTTATCGCATTATACCTGGGGTGAGATTAGTCTAAAACAGTTGTTCTTGGTGGGGACAATTATCTGACCCCCAATAGCTCAAAGGTTAGGTAACCCTGGTCTGAAAGCATTTTTTTTTTTGAGTTGGGGGTCTCGCTCTGGCACCCAGGCTGCAGTGCATTGGCATGATCATGGCTTACCACAGCCTTGACTTGGGCTCAGGTGACCCTTTTGCCTCAGTCTCCTGAGCAGCTCAGACTATAGGTATGTACCACCCTACCTTGCTGATTTTTTCATTTTTTATTATTTTGTAGAGACTGGATCTTGCTATGTTGCCTAGGTTGGCCTTGAACTCCTGGACTCAAGCAATCCTCACACCTCGGCTTCCCAAAGTGCTGAGATTACAGGCATGAGCCACCGCACCTGGCTTTTGAAAGCATTTTACATTACTTGCTAGCTAAATCCCTTCATTTTTTTCCCAAAGACTGCCAGGTTATCCTATGGCTTCTTGTACCCCGCCAGCATCACAATTTTGAAAGTGCACTTGAGAACCGTGACCTCCAAATAGGTGCAAATGACCAAGACAAAGGTTCATGAGGTTTTTAAATGTCCTGAGATTTGCGAGCAGGAGCCTTTTTGCCCACCTACCTTTTCTGACCGCACAGTAAACAACAAATGGAGTTCTCCCTCTTTCACCACCAACGGTAAAAGGATGGAATATCTGTTATACAAGTGAGAATATTTGCTCCCAACATCGTGCTTTCTCAAGCGGGTCTTAGCAGCAGCTAGCAAACTCTTTCTAAAATGAAAACATACCACATAGACATTTTAGTAAGCAGAGTTATGGTAAAAGGCTCCTAGTCCTGCCTCCTTTCTTGTATGGGGTTTACCATTTCTGAATCTCATTTTTGTTTCAATAACATGGCAGAAATAACAGCATCTAAATTGCATGGTTGTTGATAAGATGAAAATGAGACACAAAAAACCTACTAAGCACACAGTTTAGCAACCAGGTTCACTTTGAAATCGAAATTAAAGCTGAAGTATGGTCAAATGTTTTTTCAATAATGCAATAGGTGAACTTTGAAATTTATGATATTCAGACAAGATAGGTTTGCTGAAAAAGTCATTGTGAGGTTAGACCATTTTCTCTTAACCTGACCCTTATGTCATATTATCAAACCCTTTTATCTTCAACTGCCTTGTAACAGTTGTTCTCAAACTTTAGCAGTAACATAATCATCCAGAGGGCTGGTTACAACAGAGGCTGGGCTCACTCCTGGACTGTGTCTTAGTAACTTTGAGGAGGGGCTGAAAATTAGCATATATGTCAAACTCCCAAGTGATGGTGTTGCTGATGCTCCGGACCAGGGGAAAATGCTTTGAGACCCATTTGCTGATAATACGCAAGTATTTGGATTTATAACGGCAAATGGCACTCTTGCCATGTGGATTTGTTTTGTCCCTTTGGCAGGTATGTTTTGTTGCTAGTTTGTGTAGTGGATTAAACAGTGCCCCTCATGATTCATATCCAGAACTTCAGAGTGTGACTTAATTCAGAAATAGGATCATGGCAGACGTCACTAGTTTAGGGTGAGCCCTAAATTCAATAACTGGTGTCCATATTAGAAAAAAAAAGAACACAGAGAGTTGTACACAGGAAAACATGCAAACATGAAGACAGAGGTTAAAGTTTTGCTACTACAAGCCATGGAATGCCAGAAACCACCAGAAGCTGGAAGAGGCAGGAAGGGTCATCCCCTAAAGCCTTAAGAGGGAGTGTATGGCCTTGCCAACACCTTGACTTCAGACTTCTGGCCTTCGTCATCATGAAGAATAGATCGTTATTGTTTTAAGCTACCCAGTTGGGGTACTTTGTTATGGCAGCCCCAGAAAAATGAACAGTTGGTTTTACTTTTTCTTTTACTTGGTCTTTCCTTCTGGTTTTGTTGTTGTTGTTTTGTTTTGTTTTGTTTTGGCTGAGATGGGGTGTCAAATTCTCCTTCCTTGGCATCTTGAAGTGCTGGGATTACAGGATTGAGCCACTGCACCCAGCCAGTTTTACTTTTTCTATGGGAACTCTGCATAGTGGGCAAAATCAGATGTTTAAAACAATTGGTTTAAAAAATGTATAGGAATGACTCCCCTGAGTTTCACCTCATCTGTGACATGTTGCTTGAGGATACTGACACTTATGAAGATTAAATGATGCAGTTCATATACTCTGGCTGGCACTCAGCTTGTGCTCAATGAATAGTAACCACTGCCATAAATCGCCCCATCAGATAAGCAGTTGTTTGTGGGAAGTGTTTGCTGTGTGTTGCCTCTTTCTAGATGGCAGGGTGCTCACCAGATATAGTTGGACAATGGCAGTGGATGGATTTCAAAGACAAAATGACCTTAAAATAATTTTGGAATACTGGCATGGGGGATTCCAGAATGCATCTTATGCATGCAGGCCTGCATCCAGAAAAGGAAACCGGTGGGCTGGTGGCTTTTAAAGAGAAGTCCCAGAACTCATCAGAGGGACAAACAGAAGGAAAGGGGTGCAAAAACGTGTCTGTCCACTTTAGGAGCTGGTTTTTGGAGTAATCGTCACAAAGATACCAACAACAGTAGCAGCCACCCCGTTCCTTCAAAGCATGGTCTCACCGTACACTCTTGCCATGCTTTCCTCATTTTATCCTCACAACTGCCTAGCACGTGAGATCAGGGTCACATCTCCGCTCAGAGAGGTTGCATAGCTGATAGACCCAAGGTCACAACCGGAAGTAGCCACGGGGGCTACCTGGTGCGGGGCTGTGCCACCATCAGGGGTCCTGGGGTTCAACTAGGGACATGTGGTTTGCAGAAGAGCGAAACCGTCTGGGAAGAGGGAAGAGTTCTGCCCCGCGAAAGGGGAACAAACCCGCGTGTTGTGTGAATCAGGTTGGCTGAAGCTGGCTCTGCTTCTAGCCAGAGAAAGTTCAAGGACTGCGGACTCCTCGGGCTGTCAGAGGGCGAGTACACCGAGCCGGGGACTCGCAGGTGGACAGACTGGAGCGCACACTCAGTCCCAGTCAATAGGCCTGGGCCGGGCCAGGCCAGACTCGGGGTGTCAGGGCTCGGGAAGGTTTTACCTGTTTGCCTCCTGGGGAGAACCAGGTCGCGACATTGTCTCGGGGAATGTTTCCTGGTGGCGAATCCGCGGAGGGGCTCGGAAGGACGCGCTTGCGCAGAGCAGCACTGGGCCTGGGTCGCGGCCTACCGCCAGAGGCAAGGAGAGGGGCGGGCTTAAAGCAGGAGGCGGGGCGGAGCCTAGGACGCGAGACCGCAATCCGGTCGGCGCTCCCCTCGGGGGCGGGGCGGGGCCTACAGCCAGGGGCGGGGACTACGGCCAGAGGCGGGACTCGAGGCGGGGCGCGACCTGAGGGTGGGGCTTAGGTCTGGGTCTCCCTGGGCGCACAAAGCTGTTTCATGCTAGCTCCTTGGACTTTCTTCAAAGCAAGAGGCGCAAAAGGAATGGTGAAATTTACAATTGTAAAAGTTTTTTAAATAGTGAAAATGCAGCGCTGGTGAGGTGAGAGTTGGTTAAATTTTTCTGGACTGCCGTCAGCCCATGTTTACTGAGCACCTTACAGGTGTGGGTGCAGGTCCCGCAGCAAGCAAAAGGACACGTGGAGCTCATAGGCTCCACGGAAGAGACGTGGATCAGATAACCATACAAATAAAGCAGAGGCCTTTGGTCCTTGGAGAGCATATGAAGGAGAAACGTGACCCGATTAGGAGACAGAAAAGACTTGGTAGAGGGAATGGAAGTGAAATGCATTCTGAAACGTGGTCTTCAAATGTGGCTCTCGGACCCGTGACATCAGCATCACCTGAGGCCTGTTAAAACTGTAGAACGTGGGGCCCCACCCCAGACCTGCTGAATCAGAAGGTTTTGGGGTCAGGCCTAATGATCTGTGCTGTAAGAGGATTCTGATGCTCTGTGAGGGATGGGTGGGAGTAAATAAGGAAAGGGGAGAGGGAGAGAGTTCCAGGAAGAGAGAAAGGTCTGTGCAAAGGCCCCAGGAGGGGTTGGAGATGAGAAAGCATGAGGGAGCCTGGTGTGAGCTGATACTCCAGAGGTTTAGTGCAGGGCTGACTTCATTAGGCACAGAAGGTACACAATTATTCTAGGAGCCCACAAAAATATTTTAATTATAATTTATTTTAAAATCTGAAGAAGACAGTGAATGTAATAATAAGCAATATATAATAATGAGTCCAGCCTGGATTCCACTTATCTTTATACCAATGTAGTCACAAAATATCATTCATTTTAAATTTATTATTTTGTGGTAGAAGAGGTCTACAATACAAAAGTGGTTAGGGCCTGTGAAAGTCATATTGTGGCTGACTCTGAGTCAGTGAGACAGCTGGGCCACAATTCAGAAGACCTTTAAAACTGCTGAACCAGCGCTCAAAGGTTTACTCAGGCAGGCCTTGAGAAGGTCAGGAAGACCTCAAACCAAGAGTTTTGTGACGTCCTGATAATGATGATAGCACTTCACCCACATCATTAGTATTAATTGTTAATCATCTGAGAACACCATGAAATAAGGTTATTTTCATAGATGTATTACCACCCCCTCTTTCCAGATTGAAAAATAAAAAATTATCTTGCTTAAGGTCACACACAGCTAGGGTTCAAGGCTAGATTGTTTTGACCTCTGAACCCATTTATTTCAACACCACACAGAAGCTGATGGCCTGTGAATCTGACTGTGAATGTGAAGGAGATAAACTAACCCCTTATCCAATATTCATTGCATAGCTTCTATGTGCTAGGCATGGGGAAATGACTAAGACATGGCCCCTTGACCCTTAATGCCTCCTAGTCCAGTGGGGTGGCCGTACATATGACTGTCAGCTCTAGAAAGTCACAGTGTGCTCTTGGCTCTGCGAGAGAAGGAAAGGAAGAGTGGATCGGAGAATTGAGTTGGAGGCTGAAAATTATTATCTGGGGATTTTGTTTTCTCTTGTTCAGACATCCTTAGATCGAATTCTCATTTTTAAAGATGAACAAACTAATGCCCAGACTGGTTGAGTGCCTTACCCATGGTCACACAGTGGTTAAATGGTAGAGCCAGGTGTTAATCCCATCTAGTGAACTGCAGCTGGTGCTCAGGGTAGGCTATGAGGTGTGCATGAGATTTCAAGAGGCCAGGGCAGAGGGAACAACAGAAGCCAAGCTAGGGTGGGAGTCTTGTTCAGAAGGGCAAACGATTCAGTGCGGCCGGAACAAAATAGGCATTTTGCAGAGTGGAGCCCTGGAAGTAGATAAAAAGACTTTGGAGGACATAGGAAGATGGAGGTTGACTTTCATCCTAAAGAGAAAGGACTAACAAGCCTAGGATTTAGAAAGATTTCTGTGGAAGCAGGGTGGAAGGGTGGATTGGCAGTGGGGAGCAACAGAGGCAATCAGGGAGATCTCTCAGAAGTCTGAGCTCAAGGAATCAGAAAAAGATACTTTTAAGTCTTCTGAAAACACTCATACTCACAGCATCAGAGAAAGTCAGAGTATAGGAGGGGTTTGGAACTCCTTAATGTAAAAAGCAGCATCCTGAGATGCTTTGGGGTGCACCAAGGCTATATGTACAGTATCTTCTTTGAAGTTCAAAAATACTGCAGTAAAAATGCTTAACTTTTATGGCTTTGGCGAGTCTGGAAACCACAGCACAGGGCACAACACAATGTGAAATGTATCATGATAAGATTAGGTATGTGTGTATCACCATACCTGCAAGTTAATAGAGTTTCAAGGTTAATTGGTAGTGTCTTTTAGGAGAAATAACTTGTTCTCTATAGGTTTTACAAGTTGGTAGTAACACAATTCTGGAAAGTGTGTTTGAAAGAAGCAAAGCCTTTAAAACTGTCAGGCCAGGCTGCAAAAGATAGCACCTGCTTGTGCAGGTCTCTCAAAGTAGCACATCCCAGGGGTCAGGGTGGGCCTTTTTTGCAGCCCACCTGCTGGAACCTTTATTTGAATAGCACTTCAAGGGCCAGTCCTGGGTGGTGCAGGGATAAAGAAAACATCAGTCAGCTTTCAGAAGCAAAAGGTATCTGGGGAAGAGGCATACAACAAACAATTAGCTTTAATGCCAGTTAAGTGCTCCAATCAAGGAAAAGGGGCTTAAGCACTCTGGGGAGCTGGGAACAGCAGGAGAGCAATTAATTTTGCCTGGGGAATAGGCGATGGGGTCTGGGTAGGGAGTGGAGAGAAGATAAGACAGCAGGGAACACTTAGTAAGTTCCTGTATAGAAAAATAATGCTCTAGAAATATGAGTTCCCTCTATTCCTTCCTCAATTTTCAAGAAGGTCTCTAAGTTCTTGAAGGGAATTCTTTGGGGAGGTTTTCAGATTCTCACACATTCATCAGAGTATGTTTACAACTGCTGGGCTGAGCCTTCGACAAAGCAGATACTTTCCCCTCTTACTCCCTCTAGCTCACTCTTCACCCCCTACATCACATCAATTCTCTCTCCATCTCCTCCTGAATCAGGGAGAACCCAGGAGGCACAATCTTCTCCTCCTGCTGCAGAGGAAGTTACGGGATTTCTTTGAACACTGAGTTAGAACAGGTATTTCTCTACATATGAGTCAGAGCCTCAGTATCAAAATCATCCGGGACTGGGATGTTGCCTGGACAATTCAATGCCCTAGTTGCTATCTCTGGGTGGAAATTCACCCAGAAACATGCACTTCTAAATAAGCGTCTAGGTGATTCCTATGTGAAGGTTGAAGACACTTGTTAAAATGCTCCAAAGGAGCTGGGCTCGGTGGCTAAGCCTGTAATCCTAGCACTTTAGGAGGCCGAGACGAGTGTATTGTCTGAGGCTGCAGGTTTGAGAACCGCCCGGGGAAATTGATGAGACCTTGTCTCTACAATAAATCAAAAATTAGCCAGGCATGGTAGCGCCTGTAGTTCTGGCTACTTGGAAGGCTGAGGTGGAAGGATTGCCAGAGTCCAGCAGGTCGAGGCTGTGGTGGCTGGGAGCATGCCACTGCACTCCAGTCTGGGTGACAAGAGTGAGACTCCAACTAAAAAAATAAATAAATAAAAAATAAAATAAAATGCTTCAAAGGGAGACATTTAATATTGAGAAGGTAAGGCTACCTCCTTGTAACACTTGGTCATGTGGCAGCCTTGGAGGGAAGGGAAGATAATGGCCACCAAGGAGCAGGAGGTATCATTCCTGGTAGCATTGAAGCAATCTTCCTTTTTGGTCTTGGGAGTTGGTAAGGTGTACAGGTCCATCTCAGAAGAGGCTCCAGGGATTTGAATGGGTTGTTTTGTAGAAAGTGGTCTGGAATGGACAGATTCCTACATAATGTGGCCTGTACTTTTTTTTTTCCCAAAGAGACTCAATTAAAAGGAAAAAACTTGTTAGTTTGGTTCAGTGCATTCTCTGTTTGAGTTCTGGTTCTTAGCTAGGCATCACATTGAATATTGGAGATCTAGGGATACATGATAGTCGGTCCTTGCTGTTAAGGGGTTGATGTCAAGTGGCCTCTACCAGAACCTACTGGGAACTGATTAAACTGATTAAGATACTTGAACCTCAGCCTCAGGAATACTGACTCAGGTAGGGCTCAAGTATTGCATTTACAACCAGACCCTTGGTTGGTTCTGATAAGTCTATACTTTGAAGAGTAGGAAATTAAACCTGAATCTGGTAGAGTAGAAATCAGCTAGGCTGAGGAAGTCTGGGTAAGCCCTTGAACCGAAAAGTTCAACCTGAGACTCAGTTCTTAATTTCTGGCAGCAAGTGTAGATGGACACTAAAGGTTATATAGGGATTATAGAAAAGAAATGATTCTAGAATGGTCCTCGAATACAAAATACAAATACTGAGCATTTATTTCTGGTGCTTCAAATGTGATTTCATGGATGGTGTTTTTCAGAGTTGTCTAATTTTCATTGTGTTAAAAACAGATATATGCTTGCATATTAAGATGACTTAAACCTCTGAGTTTCCATAAGCCAGGCCTGCCAAAAACTGACAAACACAAAATGTGTGATCATCATTCACACATTTTATACCATTGTTTGTTCTCATTTCTGAACACCTTTAGAAATGAGATAAAGATTCGTTATGTTCAATTCCTTTACTGTCGTGTAATCTTTGTGTAATGGAACAATCAAGTAGGTTTAATTACCGGTGACAACTATGCTGGGAAGTTTGTCATCTAAATGAAGGCTTGGCCTCCGATGCACATCA